CTGGGGGTTTTTGGGGGTCCCTGGGGGTTTTTGGGGGTCCCTGGTGGGTTTTGGGGGTCCTCAGCCCCCTCAGACCCCCCTTTCCTCCTCCCCCAGCGCTCCCTGGACACCCCCAACCCCCGGGGGGTGTTCGTGATGTGCCTCCCCCCCCCCAACGTCACCGGGTCCCTGCACCTGGGCCACGCCCTGACCGTGGCCATCCAGGACACGCTGACCCGCTGGTGAGGGACGGGGGGGACCGGGGGGGACCGGGGGGACCGGGGGGGGACCGGGGGGATGGGGGAGTGACCACCAGGGGTGGGGAGTGACCAGTGGTGAACAGCGGGGGTCACTCAGTGACTCACAAAGTGACCATCAGTGACCCACAGAGTGGCCACCAGTGACCACCAGGGATCTGTGGGGTGACCCCAATGACCCCGGGGTGACCCCAATGTCCCCGGGGTGACCCCAATGTCCCCAATGTCCCCCCAATGTCGCTGTTGTCCCCCCAGGCACAGGATGAGGGGTGTGACCACGCTCTGGGCCCCGGGCTGTGACCCCAATGACCCCGGACTGTGACCCCAATGACCCTGGGGTGACCCCAATGTCCCCAATGACCCCCCAATGACCCCCCAATGTCGCTGTTGTCCCCCCAGGCACAGGATGAGGGGTGTGACCACGCTCTGGGCCCCGGGCTGTGACCACGCTGGCATCGCCACCCAGGTGGTCGTGGAGCGGCGCCTGCTGCGCTCGCGGGGCCTCACCCGGCACCAGCTGGGCCGGGAAACCTTCCTGGGGGAGGTGTGGAGATGGAAGGAGGAGTGAGTGACCACGGTGACCCCAAAGTGACCCTGAGTGACCCCAAAGTGACCCCACGGGGATCCCTGAGTGACCCCTGAGTGACCACGGGGACCCCAAAGTGACCCTGAGTGACCCCTGAGTGACCACAGTGACCCCACGGTGACCCTGAGTGACCCTGAGTGACCACAGTGACCCCACGGGGACCCCAAAGTGACCCTGAGTGACCCATGGCACCCCGTAATGACCCCAAAATCGCCCCAAAATTACTCTTTTAAGTGACCCATGGCATCGTGGAGTGACCCCAGACTCACCCAGGGCATCCCAGAGTGACCCATGGCACCCCAAAATCACCCAGGGCACCCCTGAATGACCCCTAAAGGACCCCAAAGTGACCCAGGGCACCCCTAAAAAACCCCAAAGTGACTCCAAAGTGACCCATGGCACCCCAAAATGACCCCTAAAAGACCCCAAAATCACCCAGGGCACCCCTAAAAGACCTCGAAGTGACCCCAGAGTGACCCAGGGTACCCCAGAGTGACCCCAAAGTGACCCAGGGCACCCCAAAGTGACCCAGCCCGGCTCCCAGCCCCCTCCCCACCCCAACCCCCCCCTCCCCCGGCCCCACATCCTGGCCCCCTCCCCACAGGAAGGGCGACCGCATTTACCAGCAGCTGCGGCGCCTGGGGGCCTCCATGGACTGGGAGCGCGC